TGATAATAAGACCCGCTACTTGCTGAATGCATCGAGGAGGAGGCCATAGCATTGAAAGAAAAGACGAACTCCTTTCGGTCACACATGCTTGGCGACTGAGAGTGATACCGGGGGATTCCTGGGAAAGAGACAGAAAAAGGGAAGGAAATGAAAAGATTTTTTTGGGGGGGTTGGAAGTTCTATCTCTTAAAAGAAAGCAAGTTGTAGGAAAAAAGAGATCAATTACACCCCCCCACACACACACACACACACACGGAAGAGCAGGGAAGATGTGAAGACTGCAGATGTGGACAGGGAAAGTAGCCCACGCTACTGTTTTAATGTCAGGACTGGAAGGGAAAGAACGGGAAACCTATCACCTTTATTTTTTCCAGGTTGCTCCGGGACTAAACGAATTGGCTGTACCCTGCCCTGCTAATCCCCACTGTCCCTGGGCGCCCGGCAGGAGTCAACCTGGCGGCGCGGGGTCTGCAGGACTCATTGAGGCTTGGAGCCGCTAATCTGGACCCTCCAATGCCTCTGGCTGCTCTGAGATTGCTCTGAGGTTCTCGGAGGCTGGGGAAACTATTTGCGTGTGTGTGGTGGGGATGGAGGGGGGCAAAAGGATGGGTCTCATGGGCCACCTGTCTGGCAAAGGGAGTGATCGTCTCCCCAGGTACACCTCCTCCGGGTCTGAGGCCCCAGGGTGAGGAAATATTTCAGAATAGACCACTGCCCTGCTCAGCCATGGCTTCCTAAAGAGTCCAACACCCCAATTGGAAGGACGGTTCCCCTTTCCCCGGGACAGCAGTTAACAAACCCTGGACTGACCTTTGCATTATGCCCCAATCCATCGGGCAACTCCCAGAATGAGGGAGTTTGGGGGGGAGGTGAGGACAAGAATTGAGGTGAGGCAGAAATGTTTCAGGCAACGTTAACAATAGAAGTTGAAACGTTCAAGAAGGGCAGAGGGTTGAGGATTTTAAAGCCCTTTACACAGCCTGAATACATTCAGAATTTTGTCCTGTAGCTCAGTTCAGAAGTCCTACTCTTTGAGGACAGCTGTTTCCCCCACCCAATCACCCACCCACCCAAAATACAGCAAAAGGAACTGGCTGTGGTTGAGAGCCCCTACACTCCCTCAGTACTGCTAATCAGGCCAGGCCTGGCCTCAGGAGTAGAGCATCCTGGTTTCAAGGAAGCCCTAAGTGACAGGCCTCTGGCTAAGTTCAGACAGTTTCCAAAACAAGGCCCCAGAAGGGAGATGATTGGCAATGAGCTGGGGGTTAGGAAGAGGGGGAGATATTTTTAAATCTTTCTTCCCTGGATTTGGGTGGGAATCTCCCTGTGGTGGGTACACTTGGTTTTGAAACCCGGAGCCTAAGAAACCAGCTGTGGGACCTCATCTACCCAGCCTCTTCCTCTAGAGTGACGGTGAGGCCTGCCTGTGCTTTACCCTAACCTCAATAAAGAAAAAGGATGCCCTCCTAACCCTGAGCTGTTGTATAGAGTAGTCTAGTCCTGTATCCACAAACATTCTGAGGCCACTCCAACTTCCCCCCAAAAGCTCTTGACCTCCCCTGGCCTACCTTCTCCTCTCAAACCCAGGGCTCAACTCCTGGGAAGGCAGAATCGCTCTCCCGGCTGTTCAGGTCATTCAGGAGGAACTGGGCCTGAAGAACAGAAAGGCCCTGGCCTGCTAGCTTAGCTTTCAAGTTTCTTTCTTTAGAAAATCTAAAAAGTCCATGAGGTCGAAACCTCAAGCCATTAACAGTGGGCTTTTTAAACATCAATAGGACTCCAAAGCTTGGGCCAGCAGTGAGGCAAGGGTCCAGAGGGGCCTGAGGAAGGTCATGTGGAACTCCTTTCCTGGGCTCAAACTGAGAATCATAGGTTGCCGGTCAAATTCCAAGTTTTGGAAAGAGAAGGGGTCGGGAAGGGGGCCGATTTGAACATGAATGAACACATGTGTGTTTGAAGGAATGCCTTTTGAAGGAATGCCATTTGAAGGAATGCACAGAGTGCTTAGGAATCACCAGCATCTTTTCCACCCACCCTGTATATAGATGAACAACTCAACTTTCTCTTTTTAGTGGAGTAGGGGTATATACCGGCAAGGTCATGGACTCGGGCCCCGCACACATGCACACACACACACACACACACACACAAACTACACACTTAATATATACGTTCTTCTACATATATGGGGGACAAGCCTGGGGAGATGTGTATCTCTGCATCGACTCCCTCCGCAGCACGAGCCCTGGTTCCACAGTTGCCACTTCCCCAAACCCCTCTCCGACGCCTCCCACCCCCCACCCTCTCCTCCCATGCCCACTCTGCTGAGCTCACCTTGTAGTTCGGCAGGGTTGTGGCTGTTCTGGTGCAGATAAGGCTGCTCCAGGGAGTGCGTGGGGAGACTGGACGACAGGGGATTGGCGGCGGGGTTGCAGGGGGACAAGGGCTGTTGCTTGATATAGGAGGCACCGCTGTTGAGCGCCGCTGCTGAGGCCGAGGGCGGCCAAGCGGAGGCGGAGCCCGAGTACACGGAGTGCGGCTCCATGACCCCGCCGCTGGCCAGCAGCGGGGAGGCGGACACAGAGCCCTCGGGGTGCGGGTACTCGGCGCCCGCCGAACCGGCGCAGCTGCCCATGTAGGAGTGGCCGCCGTTGGCAGGCAGGTGGGGCACCGAGTGGCCTGGCAGGCCCAGACCGTCAACATTGCCCGGCAAGTGGCCGTTCATCATGCCGATGCCGCCCTCCAAGGCCAGGCTGTTGGGTGGGCAGGAGATGGCCCCGGCTGAGCCCTGGAAGCTGTAGGTATCGGGGAGGTGGTTGAAACCCAGCCCGTTCATCATGCTGTACATGGGCTTGAGCGCCTGGCACTTCCTTCGGAAGCCGCGGGGCCGCCGGCGAAAGGAGCCCTCCTCGAACATGAACTCGCTGGCTGGATCGATGGTCCAGTAGTGGCCCTTCCCTGGGCGGCCCAGCCCTTTGGGCAGCTTGATGAAGCACTCGTTGAGCGAGAGGTTGTGGCGCACCGAGTTCTTCCAGCCCTGGTAGGAGCCTCGGAAGAAGGGGAAGCGGCTCTGTAGGAACTGGTAGATCTCGCTGAGCGTCAGCCGCTTGGTGGGCGAGCTCTGGATGGCCATGACGATGAGCGCGATGTAGGAGTAGGGCGGCTTCTCTGGCCGCCGGATCCCCGCGTTCGTCTTCTTGGCCTTCGAGGTGGTGGACGAGGCGGGGTCCATAGTCGAGCCGCCGCCGCCGCCGCCGCTGCCGCCGCTGCTGTGGCCGCCGTGTTGCTGCTGCGCCTTCTCTGGGACTGAGGACATTGGGTGGCTGCTGCCGCCGCCGCCGCTGCCGCCGCTGCTCTGCGCCGCGGAGGAGGAGGAGGAGGAGGGAGGAAGAGGAGGGGGCTGAGAGAAGGGAGCCTGCTTCACCTCTGCCGTCATCTGCTGCAACTTTTCCAGAGCACTCAGTTGCACACCCCTCCCCTCCCCCACCCCCCTTTCCCGAGCCCGGCGGCCCTCCCCCCCACCCCCCTACTTCGGAGAAGCTCCCTAGGTCTGCTGCTGCTGCTGCAGCCGGCTAGGGGTTGGCTCTCTCCCTCTCTCTCTCTCTCTCTCTCTCTCTCTTCTCTCTCTCTCTCTCTCTCTCTCTCTCTCTCTCTCTCTCTCTCTCTCTCTCTCTCTCCTCCCTCCCCACCCCCTCCTCTTCCCGCTCCGCTCTGGCCCTCCCAGAAGAGCAGGAACCAGCTGAGAGCCAAGCCAGAGCCAGAGGGGCAGGCTCTTTTCAGAAGCCTTGGGTACAGCAAGGAACCCCCCCTCCTATTTAGGGAGTCCGGGGAAAGGGGAGTTAGAGGGAGAGGGAGCTGTGCTGCTATAGTCTCAAACAGCCTCTGAGGATCCCAGCGGCCCCCACAGAGCCTAAGGCTCCTACCCCAGCCGCTGCTGCCCAAAGAGGTCCCTTGTCATAACAGCGGTTCTGGGCTCTGCTCTCTCAACGGAGATCGCCTTTAACTTTATCTCTTGTCAGCTGCATCTGTCGGCTCCTGACAGTCAGTCAGACGTAAGGAGCTAGAGAGAGGAGTTCCCCCGCCCCGACCTCCCCCGTCTTCGCTCCTTCCCTCCCCCCGACCCACCCCCCATCCTTACTCTGGTGGGCACTTAAAGGGACCTTCACACTCCCCTTCCCTCTCCCCACAGAACAGTGGCTCTCATCCAGATCCCGCCCCCCACCTCTATCTACCAGCCTTCCAAACGATTTTTAATGGACGAACGAATACCAGGCGGTTCTCTCCACGCTCAGGTCCCCACGTCCTCCCCCCCTTCGCCCCCCACCTTCCCACTCCACCTTCCTGAACTGTTCAGGCCACCGGGAAACGCGGAGCCATCACTAGACTTTCCAACCCCAAGTTCTTTCTTCCCTGCTCCACAGTCCCAGGATCGCAGTCCCCTCCGTGAAGTCCAGGCCCTTTATTTTCCAATCCTCCCTCTCTGGTGGAGGTCCCCCGACTCCCAACCCCCCACCCACGCCTCAGGGGGACCCTCTCAATGGGATCGCTCGGAGGGATCCTTTCCCCGGTGGCTGCCAAATGCCTTGAATTCCGCCTGAATTTCAGAAGCTCCAAAGTCCTGGGGTTCCTTGAATTCAGGCGAGCCGCGTTCCTGGGGAAAACGAAAGCGCGGCTAGTCTCTTTGTCTGCGGCCGCGCAGTTGGCTTGAGACTGCTGTGAACTCTGTGGTTCCCACTAAGCGAGCAGCGGGCCGCAGCAACTGCACCGTTTGGCCTCAAAGCCGAGGAAAGCAACGAGCCCTGGCCCAGGCCCGCCTAGAGTGCGCAGATAGCTCGGCTCCCGGCCCCAAGACTTGGCGCTCCCCCGCTTAAAAATCAAGGGTCTAATTTCTAAGATAGGGGGAAACCTGGCAGGATGTTTATACAGCCCAGTGTAAACATGTTCTCGGAGATTCTTTAATAAAGAAAAAAAAATCCGCGAAAACGGGCAGTTCTTTCCATGCCCCCTTTCTGCTACACTGGAATCGTCTGGGCAGCCTATCTGGCGGCTTGTTTAGATTTTTGTAATATAAATATTAGTGCGGGGTGTCGGGACTTTGACTGGAGCAGCCCGCGTGCGCGCCCCGCACGCTTAGCCCCGCGCACACTCTCGTGCGCGCGTGTGCACACCCAGTTACTCTAGGGCAAAGGGGGAGCGTGTGTGTGTGTGTGTGTGTGTGTGTGTGTGTGTGTGTGTGTGTGTGGGGGGGCCGGTTGGAGCAAGAGGAGGGGGAGGGGGCCGAGGAAAGAGAGCCGCTGCACGGCAGCCCCAGCTTCCGAGCGGGCTTCTCAGCAGGCAACCGTTGCTCACCCGGCAAGGTAAGTCACTTGGGACTTGGGGCATTCCGAGCTTGGATAGGTGCTCAGTTTGACCTTTTCACTGTTCCTTCGGTTGCTAGTTCTTTCGCCTGGGGCTAGAGAAGGGACTAGAGGCGCAGCTGCGAGAAAGCGCGGAATGGGGAGGGGAGGGGAGAGCGGCGGGAGGCTTGGGGCTCAGGGAAAGCTCAGAGAAAGGTGGGTTTTCACGGGTCATTGCTAGAAACGGAGGGCAGATTGTTGGGGACAGTTGCTTTGCACCGGCTGGGGAGAAAGCCCAGCGCAGACCACCCGATCAGCGTGTGCGCCCACACTTTAGGTGAGCTCTCCTCCGGTCCCCCGGTGTTTTCCAAAAGAAAAGATGCCTATTGTATTTCCCCAAGGGCCCTCCTCCCTCCCCTTTCCCCCTCCCTTATTCCCCACCTCCCTCTGTAGCTCAAAGCCTTGGCGGGGAGACTCGAAGTCGCCTTCGGGGCGGCTGGCAAGTCTGTGCTGAGGGCCCGACCCGAGTGGCTTCCCAGCGCCTAACTCCGATCCCTGACTTCCAACGGTGACAGGGCAGGAGGCTTCCCGTGTTATACCATGTCCCCAAAGACCGGATTCTAAACCAACCCTCCCAGGATCAGGGCCCCTGCCTCCCCTCCCCCAGTGCCGTGCTGCGCGGGCACGCACAGAGAGAGAGAGACGAAGAGAGACAGAGAGAACCTCCCTGCTTTCTTAACTTTCTCCCCCCCCCCTTCTCTGCCAAACGGCAGCAGCAGGGTTGGAGACGGGAGCGCATGGGAGGGGAGTCCAGGGGAAGTGGGGTCGCTGCTGACGTTTCTTGGTAGCAAATCCTGTGTCCTAAAGTGCAAACGGAGGAGGAGAAGTTCACTAGGCTTCCGCGGCGGAACTTTGGGGAGGGGAGCCTGGACTATATACTCTGTGTTGTAGGGAGTGGGAGAAAAAGAAGTCTCTAAACCCCGAAGCCAGAGACTGCCTACATCCTGATTGGATTCTGAAGCCGGGCCTCTTCCATCTGCTCCCGGGTGGACATCCAAAGCCAGTCTCGGTGGCCTTAGCACAGTTCACCGTAGAAAAAGAGGCCAACCTACCCTCCAGTCCCACCCTGGCCATGGTTTCCAGTTTCTGGCACACTCTGCAACATCTGTGGCCGGATGAGCTCCGAATAGGGGAAAGGAGAAGGGTGGGATTTGTGTTATCCCATAACATCACCTTCATGGTTTCCCCTCTACACTGCCGTCCCCTATTTACTCAGGAGACTCAATCCGAAAGGCTCTGTAGGTGGCATTTAGCCCCTACTCTCTTTGGAGTTGTAGTGACTGTGCATGTGTGTCTAGTTTGGGGTACGGGGCGGGAAACGTTCTTTCAATAGCCGCCTTTGAGTCCGTATGCCGAGGGAGTGCTGGAAGGCGGTTTGCCGCTTTTCCTCTAGGCTGACAGAAAAATCCTGCGTTGCTGGGGAGAGGGAGCAACAGGGAAATTCATTCCATTCCAAGGCATCCTTGCCAATGAGAATCTTCCTTGAAAGATTCGCTTCCCAAAGCCTAACGAGGTTGGCTATGGGAAGTATACGGAGAAAGGGGGAGTCAAAAAGGGATTGTTCTCTGCTGTTAAGGGAGAAACCAAGTTCACTCAGCAGATATCTTGGACATAGGTTTTCCATGTTCACAGAATGTCAGAAGAGACCTTAGACAACATCTGGTCAACCTTCTTGCTTTACAGATGGGAAAAGTAAAGCCTACCTGGGGATATAATAACTTGCCTGAGGACACGGACACGCGCACACACGCACACACGCACACACTCACACACACACACACACACACACACACACACACACACACAACACGGGATGGGGAGCGAGCGACAGAGAGAGAGAGTTGTAGGAAATCGAACCTAGTTCTCCAGACTCTTAATAGAGTGCTCTCAACTATTACAGCGAATTCTTTCACTTTACTTTCTTTTATACCTTTCTCTGAAAGAGGATGCAAAGGGAGAGAGGTGGAGAGGCTGCTGTAGCCTTTTGGAAGGAAAGTCGCTTTCATTAAGCTGTGTTTTACTCAGAGACCCCTCACCCCCTCCACAGGCCTTACAACAGACATTGGGAAGGGTCCATGATGGAACAAACCGACAATTTAATAGCCTATAGAGCTACGACTAACCCTTTAAGACAGAGTCAGTCTGGGGGATATTGGGGACCAGCTCAAGAAGCTGCAGAACCACTGGTGTTTCCCAGTAGAGGTTTAAAGTCTGGAGAGGAGAGCCGAGATGGATGCTTTTTCTGCTAGCCTGCCTCACCCCAGACCAGACCAAGGGCTAGATGGCGTGCCTTGGAGAGCACAGACTCTCTTTGACAAACCAACCAAGCCGTATAAACAGGAGCCTCCCTCCCCCAAAACATCCAGACAGATAAAATACGCTAACTGGAGACTCTTACCAGGTTTTCAAGTATAGGGGAGGCCCAGGGGCAGATGTTTAGTGTTCACCTAAAAATCTAGAAGGGTATTAAAACCTGACCTCCACTCTTATTAGTCTTATTGCCCAGCAGTCTTCTAGCCTCAATTTAAAGGGGGGGGGGTGGGAGGATCGGGTGTTTTGTGTAAAAATAGACAAATCAGAAACTTCTTCCTTTTTCCTTGACCGAAGGTATTTTTACTGGCTAATTGCTTAAGTGAACTCGACTCTGCAGCAACTGAGCTTGTAATCCGAGCATGGAAATGGATCTAGGTGGTATTGTTTCACGCAGTCTGTAGAGCGGGCGCTCCCCTGCAGAAGGGGCCGCGTGTTTATCAGAGAGCGCGGACCACCCACCGAGAGGGCACCGGCAGGCGCGCGCCCCTCTCCTCTCCCCCTGCTTTTCATTAACGCCAGTGACTTCACTCGCAGAAAACATCCCCCGCATCCCCCAACAGCCTCCTGCCCCCACTTCGTCTTGTCCTGCTTTCAGAGCCCGCTCCCCAGCCGGAGCGCCCCCTCCCCTACCCAAGTTCTAGCTTTAGCCCCTTGCAAATTGATCCCTAAACGTTTACATAAGGTAGGAAGGGAAGAGGCGGGAGTGGCAGGGCTAACTCAAGCTCAGGAGATGAGAAGATTGGCTTTTGGCGAATTTATACACGACTTCAAGGCGTTGACAGGACAAGCGATAGAATACACAGACATATTTTCACATCTGTGAAATATATGGCATAAATATATATCATATACATATATCCACACACAACTATGTATAACGAATTTCATGGGAATGTGCACGCATCATGGAGGGAGTTAATAGACTGAATAAGTGTAATGTGGGTATAATGTAGCTTGGTTATGTGCACAGAGAGCGTATTTATAGGGGAGACGTATTTATAATAAAATGGTCTTAGTCTTCATGTATGTGTGTATATATATACATATATACATATATATATACATACATATATATATATATATATATATATATATATATATATATATATATAGAGAGAGAGAGAGAGAGAGAGAGAGAGAGAGAGAGAGAGAGAGAGAGATATTAAGGGCATTTTCTTGGCGCCACTATCCCCATCCACAGGCTCCACCAGCCAATATAAAAAAAAAAAAAACCGGAACTGTGGCCAGGGAGCTTGGAACAGATAGACAGTGAGGTCTAGAGCTCTGCTTTAACCGGCAAGTTAATTTCAGTGGGTGTCACTCTACGAGTTTTTGCTTTTTGAGGAGACTGGCTTCACTTATTCCTCCCTCCAGGCAGATGTACGTGAAGGAGGTGGGGCAATTATTCTTTCTTTCTTTCTCTCTTTCTCCTCCTCCTCCTCCTCCTCCTCCTCCTCCTCTCCTCCTCCTCCTCCTCCTCTTCTTCTTCTTCTTCTTCTTCTTCTTCTTCTTCTTCTTCTTCTTCTTCTTCTTCTTCTTCTTCTTCTTCTTCTTCTTCTTCTTCTTCTTCTTCTTCCTCTGCCTTGTAGCTGAGGTCTTTTCGTCTCTCTTTTGTCCAGACGCTGTTGGAAGTGCCAGGCCATCCACCCCTCCTCCTCTGTTCCACAGGCACTGTTGATTCACCCTCCCCAGGTTCAAGCTAGACTTACTTAGGGAGATGGAAGGGTGACTTTGGACATTTGCACCATCTTTCCTCCAATGGGTCAAGCCCCTTTGCTGCAACCCAGGAGGACAGGCTAGAAAAACAAACAAACAAATAAACAAAAAGGCTGTCCTCCCAACTCGGCCTGAAAAGTCAAATTGGCCTTTGCAAGCCATATCAGTAAAGGAGATAGGCTAGCAATGGCAGATGGTAGCAATAGGCAGAAGCAAAGAGACTTGCCCCCCCCAAACTGTAGGGGCCAAGGTATGGGGTGCAGCTGTTGTTGGGTTCCCCTACAAGACAGGGTGGGAGAGTTAATCTCCCTCTGTCAACCCTACATTAAGGAGAGGTTCATTTTTTGGTCAGGGGGAAAAAAAGCATTGTGTCTCTGCTGCTTTAGTCCTGAGCTTGCCCCTTCCACTTGGCCCTTTTAGCAGAAAGCACACATTTTCCATGACGTTCTTCAATGAAATATTTGACAACATTACAGCCTAGGAATTTACAGCCCTCTTCACTGCTAGATTTTTGGGAGTTTTCTGGCATTAGCAGCACACACCACTCTGTGGAACAGAAACCAGCCCTAAAGATGTTAACCTCACGTCGTTACTATTTCGATCCCATATACAACCTCCAGAGTTTCATCTCTTCCCACAGAGATTTTTAATGCATCGCAATGTATTTTTGTCCTTGCTTTTTACAGTGGCTTTTTGATAGATACCTAGAATACTTTCCTTTAAGCATTTTGGGGCCAGCTTCTCACAATGAAAGAAGCTGATAAAAGAAGGAGAATAGAGAGAAGGGGAGAGGAGAGAGAGAGAGAGAGAGAGAGACAGACAGACAGACAGACAGACAGAGACAGAGAGAGAAAGAGACAGAGCTACTTCCATGTGTTAACTTACAGTATCCTAGTTAGTGCAAAAAAATCGTGGCTGATAAGGGAAAGAAG